ACGGCTACTGCGAAGGGCTCGCGTTCCCGGCACGAGCACCCGAAACTCTGCAGCTCCCAGCTACTCAAGATCCCCTGTGCTAAAGCCCTCCTCCCCTGCTTCCGAGGCGACCCCTGACCTGCCCTCACCCCTCCCCCTCCCCTTCCAGGAATTTCGACTTTGCCTTCGGAATGACGACGAGGAAGCAAGGGAAATCGGGAGCCCCAGGACCATGCATGGAGCCACTCCTGCCACACCCCTCCGCATGCAGCTGCAAACGGTAGTTCCATCAACAGCAGCAGCATCAGTAGCAGAAGCAGCAGTAGCGTCACTTCGCGGCTATAACTGCAACAACTACTACTACACGGGGCCGCACAGGATACAGTGTCCGCACGGAGAGTGTAGTCCCAGGACTCACGTCACTCGCAATAACTCAGTGCTGCAACGCTCGGCACGTGTTACGCTCAAATTTCACAATTCCTGTCAGACGAGATGCTCAAGCAGTTGACAACAGCAAACGCAAAGAGGACAGACGCAGATGGAGAAAGATTGAGGGAAGTGCGAGAGAACAGGAGACGAAGAGGCGAGCAGATTGAAAAAAAGCGTGGAAGATGAAGAAAGGAGCGAGCGAAATGAGGCAAATTATTGGCTCATGGCACAAGAATGATTACGAAAGAACTTCGGATAATTCCTGAAACAATGCAAATACGAAGGAGAAGGGAGAGGGGGGAGGGGGGATTTCCAGAACTTAGCCGCGCCTACTCCGTTTGGTACCATTCATCATACGACTAGCAATGGGAAGTTTTAAAAGAAAAAAGAAAAAAGCTGTTAAGTGGACACTTTTTAGAAATGAGATCTTAATGCCAAGATAAAAAAACTGTCTATCATAATGTCCATGGTTTTGCTAAAAATCTTATTAGGAAATACACTAGTTCCGCAACGATTTCGGCCCATTGATAAAAATAAATTCCCGGGACGTAAGAAAAAGCTTTTCCAGCCTGTTTCACCTGTGGATGTTTTGAATTCACATTTTATTAACTGGACATGTGCGGAACTTCACCTGCTACTCTCTTAGAAGGTCTGTAACTAAATATTCTGTCTTATGAAATAGCTAGTAAAGTTGATTGAAAATTACGTGTTCGGAAGGAACAGGTAAGCTTGCAGTCTGTGTTTCATCCCTTAGCAGCAAATACAGACAAAGCATCGGAGTGGGAATCGTCATTATCTAGTCGCCATATAGGAAAGAAGCAGATTTAAATAAGCAAAACATAATAAATGTCTTAGGAGTGTAGCAGAAAGCAGGTGTTAAAAGTACAGTAGAAGTGTAGGAGAATAGAAGTGTTGGAAGTATAGGACAGTGGAAGTGTTATATAAAGTGACTGGATCCCTTGATGGTATCAATGCAGCCGGACTTGACGGTATCTCAGACCGGATGTTACGCCTTGGCCAAAGAAAAACCTGGTTCTTCCTACCCTTGCACTGTTTAATT